CCGATCCCAGAACCAGTTGCATATTCACAAGCAGCACTGGTGCATGGGGCTCCCAGAGGGCCCAGCCTTCACCTACACAATCTTCCTCCAGCCTCAGGGTGTGGCCCTCAAAGGTCAGTTTACCACATTCCAGGGCAGCTCCCCTTAGGAAAGTAGCAAACACATCATCCGGGTTTTCTCAGCAATGCTTCCTGCAGCTGAGAAACATCCAGCAATACCCAGGTAGGGCCCCTTGCTCTTGATGTAGTCTGGGATGAGTGAAACCATAAACTGATCAACACCTCCCTAACCTGTTCACTTGTTGCCTAGAACTAAGATAGTTCTGGATGACTACAGGAAGTACATTGCCACAAAGACCAGCCCATGTGAAAAGCCACAAACAAGTGGCCATGTGATGTGAGTGCAGCAAGAAGGAAGCAACCGGGCTACTGAAGGTCAAGAAGGGCCCAACTTTGTGGCTGTTGAAGTGTAGTGTTCAGGCCCCACCCCAAGGCTTTGGGCAGAAACAAGACACTCTAGCTTGTGACTTGGGCCCCTTCAAAGCCTGTCACAGAAATCTGATCCAGCATCCAAAGTCTCCAGTGCTTGTTTCCACAATAGAAAACTGTTTTGGAAATCTTGGCCAATCTGAGTGGTTCCAGCAGGGAAGACAAATGCCAGAGAATTCACTATGTAAATAAAAATAAATAACATACCAGCCGGGCCTGTGTTCCAAGTCTGAGCATTTTCTTTTGAAAGGGGCCTTTGATATACAACCTATTCATTTTCTAATGTTACAGACAAGCAGAGAGCAGGAGACAGGTGTTGGCAGGCTTCTAAATCAAAGGTGGCACATTAAGCAGAGACCCAGGATCTACTGGGGCATGGCTGATGCAGGGAAGGCTTAAAGGTCTCTCCCTAGGTGGACAGTGCTGTGCTCTTCAGCCCAGAGCTGGGCAGTCACCACAAGGGCCTATGGCAGCCAGCAGCCCTGCTTACCAGAAGGGTCTGTACGAGGGGCAGGTGGAAGGAAGTTCTGGGATCTGGAGCCTGACCCAGAGGGCTGAGCGTATTGCTTGTTCTGTTCATTGAATGGAACCCATTGTGCCAGCTGTGTTCCTCCCAAGCCCGGCCCTAGCCATACAAGAAACCCTGAGCCCTGGCTCCAAAAGACCTTCTGGGCCATCCGCAGCTCCTGCTTCACAGACTGGATCTGGTTGCGGAGGTCACTCATCTTCAGGTTCGTGGCTGCCAGCCTGTCCTGCAAGGCCTTTACCTCTGGGGTCTCCAGCTGGTCGGGAAGAACAGGAGAGAAAGCAGTCACTAGTTGTCTAAATAATAATCATTGCCCCCATTTACCAAGCATGTGCCAGGCACCATGCTAAATGCTTGATGCAGAGTAACTCAGCTAGCTCTCACTAACCTTTGTCACATAGGTTCTATTGTCACTCCCTTCTAGATGCAAAATGGAAGCTGGTGGAAGATACGTCCCTTCAGCCTGCTGCTGAGCCCTTTGCTCAGACTGTCATGCATACCCTTATGGATGCATGGCATAGCCACAGACGTGAAGCTTCTTGAGGAGGTTGTGGGCTCCACACCTCTCACACTTCTGGGTGTGGATTCTCTCTGCCGTGCTCAGAGATCGACATCATAGCCAATACAGCTTCGCTCAGAATAGAGAGGAAGCTAGATTGTTCACAGATGGCAACCCTGGCTTGGCGGGAAGGCTACAGGACTATCCTAAATCGGGACCTCCCTCTTCCAGAATTGCCAGCCTGAACCTTGGTCTCTGACAGCTGAGGGGCCTTGGGTTTCCTTTCCTGGCAGTGCTCACTGAGCAGAAATCAGGATCCAGTTTAATCCCTAGATGCTCCATCTCTGTGGCTTGAAGAATTGCAGCAACCATGAAAACTGCCTACTGAAACTCTTAGCAATGTCTTTTTTAAAAAATGTTTGATTTAAACTATCCAGATGCAAATTTTCCTTAAACAAGCTAATCACTTCTCTGTCTTCAACAGATATTCCTGAGACTCCCAGAAGCTTGGCTTTAAAGGGACCTCCAAACTCAGCCCATTCGGCTCCCTTCCATAAGGCCAGGTAGGGTGGACTTCCAGGAAGCAGGCCCCATACTAGAGCAGTTTTCTTATCTTTCTTTAGCAGGCACAAATGAAATCTCTTGTGAAAGACAGATCTAAGTAGCCTAGATCTGGAAAGTTCCATGGCCCCAGAAGTTTTGGGCAGCCAGGCTGAAAACCACTGGTTAAAGAAACTAGACATGGACAGGTGGTCCAGAAACCCTGGCCTCATTTAGTTTCCCGGCTACAGAATGGGCACAAAAATACTTCCCTGTCCTGCTTCCCCACAGCACCACCATCAGGCTAAACAGAATAACCAGTGTGAACAAAAATTGCGAACTGAGACGTACATGAAGCGTAATTATACCCTTTTATTAGCATATTCTTTCCCGTGTCCTTCCTTTGTCTGAGGTTCCTGCTTAGTACTTTTGGGTTTGTTTTGTTTCCTGCTAAATGTGTGGCTTTGAATCTTTACTGCAGTGGGAAATAACACCCTCCCCCACCCCGGCCCAGCATGTCAGATCTTCAGTGCCAGGAGTCCCAGTGGCGTTAAGAAAGACCTTAGGTACCCGTATAGCTCTCAGCACCTCAGGTGGGAGTACACAAGTGTCCCATGTGGCTGCTGTGACCCTGCAGTATCTCTCTTGCTCTGCCCCCAGGTCTGCTCAGATGGTGGAAAGAGCATTTGGATTTGATCTGGATCTAGAACTCCACACCTGGTTTTCTCACCTATAAAATGGGGTATATAATGCCAACCTCCAGAGTACCTATGAGGGTTGACAGAATAACACATGTGATTGGTGCTGTCTGGGGCAGGTACTGGCAGAGGACAGTGCCCTAGGAGGACCTAGCTTGGAGGGGCAGTTGGCAAAGGGGCTGAGGGCAGATGGTGTTCTGCACAGGGCTGGGCCAGACCCCATCCTCTTGGCCTAAGCAGCTTGGCTAACCCTATGTCCCAGCCATTTCACAGGCTTTGTGGAGGAGCTGGGTGTGGACACACTTCCATCCTGGGTTATTTTCTTTGATGGAATAACTAAAATGCAGTCCAGGTAATGCCACTGCCACTCACAGCACTACCTCCTGAAAGCCCATGCAGAGGGGAGGGTGTGGCTTGGGCTTGGGACACCCTGAGCAGTCTAATGAGAGGGATGTTGCTGTTGCTCTCAGCAGTGTGCATGCAACTGGCAGCCCATCACACTCCTCTATCAGAAATCTCCCAGGCTCCCTGTGGCCACAGACTAAAATGAAAATTCCTGCTCCAGCTGCCACTTAAGGCCTCCCTCCAAGGATGACCCTCACCCAGCTCTTTTTGGCTTCCATTCCCCTTTTCCTCCTCTGGGCTCTGGGCTGCTATCAC